CTGACTTCATGATCTGCCCGCCTCAGCCTCCCAAAGTGCTGGGATTACTGGCGTGAGCCACTGCACCTGGCCTCCTTTTTTTTTTTTACTTTGAGACAAAGTCTCCCTCTCACCCAGGCTGGAGTGCAGTGGCATGATCTTGGCTCACTACAACCTCTGCCTCCTGGGTTCAAGTGATTCTCCTGTCTCCTCTTCCTGAGTAGTTGAGATTACAGGTGTGTACTACTACGCCTGGCTCATTTTTTTTTTTTTTTTTTTTGAGACGGAGTTTCGCTCTTGTTACCCAGGTTGGAGTGCAATGGCGCGATCTCGGCTCACCGCAACCTCCACCTCCTGGGTTCAGGCAATTCTCCTGCCTCAGCCTCCTGAGGAGCTGGGACTACAGGCATGCGCCACCATGCCCAGCTAATTTTTTGTATTTTTAGTAGAGACGGGGTTTCACTGTGTTGACCAGGATGGTCTTGATCTCTTGACCTCGTGATCCACCCGCCTCGGCCTCCCAAAGTGCTGGGATTACAGGCGTGAGCCACCGCGCCCGGCCACCTGGCTAATTTTTTATATTTTTAGTAAAGACAGGGTTTCACCATGGTGGCCAGGCTGGTCTCAAACTCCTGACCCCAAGTGATGCACCCCCTCGGCCTCCCAAAGTGCTGGGATTATAGGCGTGAGCCACTGCGCCTGCCCTAAGGAGATATTTTCTTACTGAGTTCCATTATTACCACTTTTCTTTTAGTTCAGTTTGAAATCCAATTATTTGGACTCTTGATTATAGTTTGCTTTTGTTGTGTGACTCTTATTAAGAGGTTGACAATTTCATTTTGGCTTAGATTTTTTGAATGAATTTACCCAAAGCTCTGGTATTTCATAGAACTATTATTTGCCCTACCTGAAAACTGCTTACTGCAAAACTCTTATGTTGTAGCTAAATCTCAGGTCTCATTCAGCAGCTATTGCAATGTTAACTTTGTTTTTTTCTATCATATCTTACAGATGTATGTCCATCCCTGTGACGATGAGGGCTATTCGGAGGAAAGCTGAAACCATTCAGGCCGACACCCCAGCACTGTCCCTGATTGCAGAGACAGTTGAAGACATGGTGAAAAAGAACCTGCCCCCGGCTAGCAGCCCAGGGTATGGCATGACCACAGGCAACAACCCAATGAGTGGTACCACTACACCAACCAACACCTTTCCGGGGGGTCCCATTACCACCTTGTTTAATATGAGCATGAGCATCAAAGATCGGCATGAGTCGGTGGGCCATGGGGAGGACTTCAGCAAGGTGTCTCAGAACCCAATTCTTACCAGTTTGTTGCAAATCACAGGGAACGGGGGGTCTACCATTGGCTCGAGTCCGACCCCTCCTCATCACACGCCGCCACCTGTCTCTTCGATGGCCGGCAACACCAAGAACCACCCGATGCTCATGAACCTTCTTAAAGATAATCCTGCCCAGGATTTCTCAACCCTTTATGGAAGCAGCCCTTTAGAAAGGCAGAACTCCTCTTCTGGCTCACCCCGGATGGAAATATGCTCGGGGAGCAACAAGACCAAGAAAAAGAAGTCATCACGATTACCACCTGACAAACCAAAGCACCAGACTGAAGATGACTTTCAGAGGGAGTTATTTTCAATGGATGTTGACTCACAGAATCCTATCTTTGATGTCAACATGACAGCTGACACACTGGATACGCCACATATCACTCCAGCTCCAAGCCAGTGTAGTACTCCCCCGACAACTTACCCACAACCAGTACCTCACCCCCAACCCAGTATTCAAAGGATGGTCCGACTATCCAGTTCAGACAGCATTGGCCCAGATGTAACTGACATCCTTTCAGACATTGCAGAAGAAGCTTCTAAGCTTCCCAGCACTAGTGATGATTGCCCAGCCATTGGCACCCCTCTTCGAGATTCTTCAAGCTCTGGGCATTCTCAGAGTACCCTCTTTGACTCTGATGTCTTTCAAACTAACAATAATGAAAATCCGTACACTGATCCAGCTGACCTTATTGCAGATGCTGCTGGAAGTCCCAGTAGTGACTCTCCTACCAATCATTTTTTTCATGATGGAGTAGATTTCAATCCTGATTTATTGAACAGCCAGAGCCAAAGTGGTTTTGGAGAAGAATATTTTGATGAAAGCAGCCAAAGTGGGGATAATGATGATTTCAAAGGATTTGCATCTCAGGCACTAAATACTTTGGGGGTGCCAATGCTTGGAGGTGATAATGGGGAGACCAAGTTTAAGGGCAATAGCCAGGCTGACACCGTTGATTTCAGTATTATATCAGTAGCTGGCAAAGCTTTAGGTCCTGCAGATCTTATGGAGCATCACAGTGGTAGTCAGGGTCCTTTACTGGCCACTGGGGACTTAGGGAAAGAAAAGACTCAAAAGAGGGCAAAGGAAGGCAATGGCACCAGTAATAGTACTCTTTCGGGGCCAGGATTAGACAGCAAACCAGGGAAGCGCAGTCGGACCCCTTCTAATGATGGGAAAAGCAAAGATAAGCCTCCAAAGCGGAAGAAGGCAGACACTGAGGGAAAGTCTCCATCTCATAGTTCTTCTAACCGACCTTTTACCCCTCCTACCAGTACAGGTGGATCTAAATCTCCAGGCAGTTCAGGAAGATCTCAGACTCCCCCAGGTGTTGCCACACCACCCATTCCCAAAATCACTATTCAGATTCCTAAGGGAACAGTGATGGTGGGTAAGCCTTCCTCTCACAGTCAGTATACTAGCAGTGGTTCTGTGTCTTCCTCAGGCAGCAAAAGCCACCATAGCCATTCTTCCTCTTCTTCCTCATCTTCTGCTTCCACCTCAGGGAAGATGAAAAGCAGTAAATCAGAAGGCTCATCAAGTTCCAAGTTAAGTAGTAGTATATACTCTAGCCAGGGGTCTTCTGGATCTGGCCAGTCCAAAAATTCCTCGCAGTCTGGGGGGAAGCCAGGCTCCTCTCCTATTACCAAGCATGGACTGAGCAGCAGCTCTAGCAGCACCAAGATGAAACCTCAAGGAAAGCCATCATCACTTATGAATCCTTCTTTAAGTAAACCAAACATATCCCCTTCTCATTCAAGGCCACCTGGAGGCTCTGACAAACTTGCCTCCCCAATGAAGCCTGTTCCTGGAACTCCCCCATCCTCTAAAGCCAAGTCCCCTATCAGTTCAGGTTCTGGTGGTTCTCATATGTCAGGAACTAGTTCAAGCTCTGGCATGAAGTCATCTTCAGGGTTAGGATCCTCAGGCTCATTGTCCCAGAAAACTCCCCCATCATCTAATTCTTGTACGGCATCTTCCTCCTCCTTTTCCTCAAGTGGCTCTTCCATGTCATCCTCTCAGAACCAGCATGGGAGTTCCAAAGGAAAGTCTCCCAGCAGAAATAAGAAGCCGTCCTTGACAGCTGTCATAGATAAACTGAAGCACGGGGTTGTCACCAGTGGCCCTGGAGGTGAAGACCCAATGGACGGCCAGATGGGGGTGAGCACAAATTCTTCCAGCCATCCTATGTCCTCCAAACATAACATGTCAGGAGGAGAGTTTCAGGGCAAGCGGGAGAAAAGTGATAAAGACAAATCAAAGGTTTCCACCTCTGGGAGTTCAGTGGATTCTTCTAAGAAGACCTCAGAGTCAAAAAATGTGGGGAGCACAGGTGTGGCAAAAATTATCATCAGTAAGCATGATGGAGGCTCCCCCAGCATTAAAGCCAAAGTGACTTTGCAGAAACCTGGGGAAAGTAGTGGAGAAGGGCTTAGACCTCAGATGGCTTCTTCTAAAAACTATGGCTCTCCACTCATCAGTGGTTCCACTCCAAAGCATGAGCGTGGCTCTCCCAGCCATAGTAAGTCACCAGCATATACCCCCCAGAATCTGGACAGTGAAAGTGAGTCAGGCTCCTCCATAGCAGAGAAATCTTATCAGAATAGTCCCAGCTCAGATGATGGCATCCGACCCCTTCCAGAATACAGCACAGAGAAACATAAGAAGCACAAAAAGGAAAAGAAGAAAGTAAAAGACAAAGATAGGGACCGAGACCGGGACAAAGACCGAGACAAGAAAAAATCTCACAGCATCAAGCCAGAGAGTTGGTCCAAATCACCCATCTCTTCAGACCAGTCCTTGTCCATGACAAGTAACACAATCTTATCTGCAGACAGGCCCTCAAGGCTCAGCCCAGACTTTATGATTGGGGAAGAAGAAGATGATCTTATGGATGTGGCACTGATTGGCAATTAGGAACCTTATTTCCTAAAAGAAACGGGCAGAGAAAAAAACTATTGATAAGTTTATAGGCAAACCACTGTAAGGGGTGAGTCCGACAGGTCTGATATGGTTAAGAATACTAAATGGCATGGCTTTGACACCGAGCTGGGTGAATTAGAAAGGCATATCCAGACCCTGTTAAAGAGACCACAGGGTTACCAAGAAGTCTTTGTTCCTGTGCCAGAAAGAAAAAGTTAAAATACTTGCTTAAGAAAGGGAAGGGGGGGTGGGAGGGATGTAGGGAGAGGGAAGGGGGGGAAACAGTTTTGTGGGAAATACTCACATATATTTTCTTCTCCCTTTTTCCATTTTTAGGCCATGTTTTAAAATCATTTTAGTGCATGTATATGAAGGGCTGGGCAGAAAATGAAAAAGCAATACATTCCTTGATGCATTTGCATGAAGGTTGTTCAACTTTGTTCGGGGTAGTTGTCCATTTGAGTCATGGGCAAATGAAGGACTTTGGTCATTTTGGACACTTAAGTAATGTTTGGTGTCTGTTTCTTAGGAGTGATTGGGGGAGGGAAGATTATTTTAGCTATTTATTTGTAATATTTTAACCCTTTGTTTTTATACAGTGTTTTGTTCTAAATCTATGAGGTTTAGGGTTCAAAATGACAGGAGGCGGAAGAGCAAGGCTTATATGGTGGTAGGGAGCTTATAGCTTGTGCTAAAACTGTAGCATCAAGCCCAAGCAGATTAGTCAGAGCCGCCTTTAAAGTTAAATATAATAGAAAAACCAAAATGATATTTTTATTTTAGCTTTTAAATAAGGTTCAGAGATCATAGGAATATTAGGAATTACCTCCCTGTGGAGGTATTGATTTGTAATCTCATTTTCCTTTTAAAAAAAAAAAAAAAAAAAAAAGCTGGTGGCTTTAACATGTTTTCAGATGCAGTAAGGTTTAGTGTAGGACAGCCTTCCTGACCCGATGGCATGAAAACCATTACAGAATTAATAGTTCTCCTGTTTCCACAATGTGCCAAAACTCTGCATCCCAGCATTTTGTTTGCAGGAGAACTGATGCCATTCCTAAGAGCTGGACTCATTGTTTCTCTTCATCACAAGGAGAAGGAGTCCAAACTTTAATCACTCCACTGTATGCTCCCTGAGAGATAAAACAGTAAAAAAATCTGCAGCCATAGTTCACTTAAAACAATTTCAAGCTCACTTGAAGTAATGGGGGCCTGGAATGCTGGGTGAGCATGAAGATAAACCCTTGCTACTATGTAGCAACCCAATTGGACCTTTTTGGAGAAATAGGTCTGAGTCTGGATTCTGGGGGACATCGATAAGAGCCCTTCACATAAAAATATAGAAATCCAGGAGACTGTTTTGAGTGCAACAGAAGTTCTCAGTATTTGGAGGGTCCTCTCAAAATTCTGCGGCCTTACTTTGATATTGACACCTGCACTGTGCCATTCCTGATGATTCCATTCAGGATCTGTATCAGCGGGATGGGGCCTGGTCCCCAGCACAACTCTTCTGGGTTAAAAAAAAAAAAGCCAGGTGATTCCTCTGTGTATTATGTCATAAGTAGAGTGACTTCATCATATATGGAAGATTTCTATATTCAGCTCTTTCTGCAGGTTGGAGTCAGCATAGAGTTGGAAAATCAGCTTTGGCTTTCTTTCCTGTCTCATTTCCTCTAGTGTTCTCCCTTTTCTGGTCATCAGCTCTCAACAACTCTGCCACTTTTGTGTCCCAAGGTAATAAGATGTAGGAAACAAAACATTGCAAAGTGGAGCAAGAAAAGTTATCAGTTACCGTATCAGAGTCAAATGTCTTGGGTGACACTAACGAGGACATGGGCAGGTGATACCAGAGTGCTTTATCTTGTGATGTTGATACAGTAGCGGCCTCTCAGACATTCAGCCAGGTTCGATTTCTCACGGGTTTGTCACCTAGTTTTGAATCCTATCCCGTTGGTTTCTGCAGGAAAAAAAAAAGTTACATGGTTTTAAAAATTTGTTCTGGGTGGGGAAAATCTTACTGGGAATGTACTGAATAGTATCGGGGCTCAGCTCCCCCAAACAGGGCCAACAAATACCAAAATGAGTAAACTGGGAAGCTTTTCTCTTTTTCTGTCTTCATCCCAGATCAAAGAATCCCGAGTTAGGATCTGGATGAAGGATAAGCCCCTGAATTGTCGATGGGCTCACCCCCACATTGACCCAGCATCTGAACTTGCTTAACAGGGAGCCGGGGCTAAACTGCTTCACCCTGCCTGAGAACCAGGGAGCACTGCATTTCTCCACAGGGTGGAGGAGAAGAGGCAGAATAAATCAAGCCTGGGACACCTCCCTCCTGTCTAGGTGTACTTATTCTTCTGTTTCAAAAGAAGGCAAGGACATGAAGTCAACTTCTACCTATCTTCTGCTGCTGGTGTCTTATGTATTCCCAGTTTGACCTGATTTCCTCTTCTGTCTTTTGGCTTAACATTAGGGGTTCTTGGTCATAACCTGCTCTGATGTACATGAAGATTTCAGGTTCAAAATCAATGTGTCTTAAAACAGAAGTATTTTAGCGGGTGGGGGGGGTGGGGTGGGGGGGACAAACACAGGATATAATTGCCAAAACCAGGCTTGAGGTTGGCGACTTTTTTGAAAGATTTTCCTTCTTCAGGCCTAGATGGAAAAATTAAGTGCAGCAATATCATGAATTCTCAGAAGCCCTTTCAGGGAGCCAGTGAGTCATACAGTATCCACAGTTGAGTCACTTAAAGATGTCAGTATGGGAAACATTCACAATCCTTGGGCAACCTAATTTTTTTTTCTTTCTCCCCTCCTGTCCTGCCCCCCATACATTTCGAGTTAGTTTTTGGTGGGGCAGGAAGTACTTAACATCTCAGAAGCTAGATTGGGAAACATGCTCAGCCTATAAGAACTGAGCTTTAAATTTTGAGTTTAAAAATGTACATCAGGAGCAGCTGGGGAGGGTCGTTTTTTAAAAAGAAATCTTTCAAATTTGGTTTTCTGTGCATATGGCCGTTCTGTAAATACTTTGGGGTTTTTCATTTTTTTGAACGTAGATGAACTCTGTTGTGGGATTTTTTTTCCCCCAAAACATTACAAAATAACCTGTTTATTTACATGCAAATAAACTTCTTTGATAAAAAGTAATGTGCCTGTGTGTAATAAAATTTTAGCCTTTGAATACTTTTTTCATTTGTTCAAAACTCCAGTGAATAAGAGTCAGTCAAAAGTAAATGTCTTCCCTGAGTACTACTTGAAATGGTCCACTGGAATGGATAATTGACCTGTGAAACTTGTCTTCATTCTGTTAATCTGTAGGCCAGTTTTTCTACCCTTTGTCATTGTTACTCACCAAATGCATCAGTAGTTTCTGTTGGGAGAATACAGCTTTTAGATGAGACAGAATGAAAAGGTTTTTTTATTCCACTGGCTGAACTCAAGCAAAAACATTAAAAGTACCTCGGACAGAAGGAGAAGACAGACCTGGGATTATGGGTCTGAGAATGAGTTTTCTGTAGCTAGGTCCCTGGTTTTAGGAAGACACCTCTAGGATTAAAAAAAAAGGGGGGGCCGGTAGTGGTGACTCACATGAGGCCTGTGATCTCGGAGGAGACTGGAGGATCACTTGGTCCCAGGAATTGCAGATGAGCCTGGGCAACACAGGGAGACCCTGTCTCTACAAATGAAAAAAGATCCCAGCATTCTGGGAGCGCAAGGCGGGCAATTACCTGTAGTCAGGTGCTCCCGACCAGCCTGGCCAACATGGCGAAACCCCGTCTCTATTTAGCTGGGCGGGGTGCTACGCGCCTGTAATCCCAGCTACTATGGGATGCTTGAACCCGTGAGGCGGAGGTTGCAGTGAGCCGAGATCGTGCCACTGCACTCCAGCCTAAGCGACAGAGTTGAGACTCTTATCTAAAAAAAAAAAAAAAAAAAATTGTACAGTGCTTTAAGAGTTTGGTAATATGCCCTCCAGCTAAAATGTGCCTATTCTTAAAGATCAACCGCACTTGTTAATCTTGTTAATTTCTTAGATGCACAAGTCAGTCGCTAAAGCCATTAATTAAAAGGGGTGTGAGGAAGAACAAGTCATAACTGCTTTGGAAGCATACAATTAGCAGTGCTGCTGCTCCTGCCAGGACTGCTGGAATTTATTATACAGTTTCTAGTATTTCACGCTTAGGACACGATTTCGTAGTTCGTTGCTCTTTGCAGGGGCAACGAACTACAAACCCTGAGTTATTCCTTTGTAGAAATTCGGTCATAAATTATGAGACCTTGAATACCAGAGTTGTTAAAACATAATATAATATGATGACACAGATCTGCTTCGATACAAGGAGCCCCAGAGTCTGAGGAAGCTTTTCTACGGGAAAACGCCCCCGCCTACTCGCTCACACACGCTTGTTTCTCCCGCCAAAGTGGCGTCAGGCCGAGGCTCTCACCAACCAGCGCCCTGATTGGCGGATGGGCAGGCGCTGCAGCCCATTGGGCGCCAGCGGCGGCCCAGCAGGGGAAGTCAAAGGCCCTTCGGCCTCGCCCGCCCCACCCCCACGGACACGCGCCCCTCCCCATGCCATAGAAAGGGTTGCCGGGCTCCAGCCCTGCACCCCGCCCAGACCCCGGCCCCAGGTTCCGCCCGGCAGCTATCCTGGGACCAGGGCGGGCACTCGGCCTGCAGCTCAGCACAATCAGCCCTCGCCCTCCCAAGCCATGCACCGGGAGACACGCGTCCCGCAGCGGCCCCCCAGGCCTCCCTGCAGCGCCCCGTAATGCAATCCACTGGGGCGGGAGAGGCGGCGGCGGCGGCAATCGAGGAGGCGGCGGCGGCGGCAGCCGCAGTGCCCAAATCTAGAGACATCCAGAAAGAGGAGGAAAATGGCTCCAAGCAGGGACCGCCTGCTGCACTTTGGGTTCAAGGCGACAGTGAGTGACAGGGGAAGGGAGCTGGGTGGCCGGGAAAGATGTATGTGCCTTACAGGCTCCTGGGGAACAAATGACGAGGGATGGGGGGCGCGGGCAGAGGCTGAGTTCTGTGCAGGTGGGTGCGTGCCGGTCTGCCTGCGGAGGGAGGAGAGGGGGACGCGGGACAGACCCCTGCGCAGAGTGCGGTCCTGCTCTTCTCTCCCTCTCCGGTCCGCGAGCACGCGCGCACTCGCACCCACCCCACAGCCCCCCTGTTCCACACGCAAAGGCACTTCCCTGCCTCGCCTGCTCTCGATGGGTTCAGCTGCCTCGGAGGTGCTGGGGGTCGTGCCACCGCCGCCAAGCTCCGGCTGCTCCAGGGCGCACCGTCAGGGCCGGCCCCGGGTGGGGGAGGGGTGGTCTCGCGCCGCCGCCGCCGCCGCCGCGCTCCTCCCCCTCCCGCCCTTCCCCCTCCCAGGCTCTCCGAGGCCCGGGCGGCTCTGCCCAATGAGCAGCGGCGTTGCTGGCAGGTGGGGAGTGTTTTTGTTTTGGGTTGAAGTTGAGGCTGTGGAGAGAGCCGAGCTAGCGACTAGCAGTCGTCGCGGCCGCCAGCGCCGCAGGAGGTGGTGGAGGCCTCGTCCGAGCCCAGAGGTCTCTCCTTCCCGTCCCGCGGCCCCGACTTCGCCCCTCCACGTCCTGGTCCCCGTCCCCGAACTCCTGGGCCTGTCCTGGGCCCCCGGTCTGTGCACTCCGCTCGCCGCAGCGCCCGGCCCGGGCCGCACCCGCCGGCCCCATGAGGAGAGACGTGAACGGAGTGACCAAGAGCAGGTTTGAGGTGTGAGCTTGGGCTCGGGCGGCGTGAGGAGGGCGGGTTGCGCTCTCTCTTCCCGAAACGTCCGCTCCGCACGGAGTCTCCTGCCTGGCGGGCGCCGCCACCCACCCACCCGCGGGGCTGCCAGACTCGGCTCCCCTTTTTCGCGACCTGAAAGCCCAGCGCAGCCCGGCGTCCCAGTCCCTTCGCCGGTTCGCCCCCCGTCTCTTCCCACCAGCGGGCCCCCGCGGGGGATTAGCTCGGGCGCCCTAATTCCCCCCATCCCCCAGGATCGCTCAGCTTTTCATTCTTTATACAACCCTTGGCTTGCCGCCTTCTACCCAGCAGAAAAAGCATCACGGCTCCGGTCAACAAGAGCCTGCTGCTTTTCTCGCTGCCACCTTCTTCGTGACGCGTTTGTTGTCTGCTGAGGGTGGAAATTAGAGACTGGGGGCCATTTCTCCGAGTTTGAGACCTCGGTGCAACTAGGGAAGTGGGGGCGGTAGACTGGGATGAGAGAGGCGACCACGGGTTTTCGGTGCTGTTTGGTTTGGGTATTGTTCTGATACTTCCTCTTCTTTCCCGTTTAGTCTGTACTTTTGTAGCACATTGTTTCTGGGAACCCTTGGATGTCTACATGCTTTGAGATTGGGACGAAAGTTCAGCAAATCCATTCCGGTCTTTTAGGAACTTTTTCTCCTCTAGCGAGGGAGGTTTACAGTCCTGGAATTGAGGAGTGGATGGTCTTGAAAGCATCTGTAGAGAGTAGTCACCGTGCAGGAAAGACATTCCATTGGGAAGCAAAGTATTGTAACTACTGGTGAATTACAGTAGTATAACAGTATACTGGAAGGTTCTTTGAAGGGACAAGAGAAAGAAACTTCTACAGGAAGAGTAAATGTCACCTGGTCTTTTCTGGCAGAGAACCAGGCTGACCTGGTATCACTCACAGCTTGGTGGACAATCTCACTCGGTGTTTTTCATCGTCTCCATTTGAAAGATGAAATTGTAAGACGGCAAGAAAAAAGTTAAGAAACTCGACCACTAGGTACAGGGAGTGAAAAATTTTAAGGGTCGTCAGTTTGTTCCTTGATTCTTTTTTTTTTTTTTTAAATTTCATGACTCCTTTTGTGCCACCTTGATTTCTTCTTATTAGAACGGGAAAATGATTTGAATTGATCCATGAAGATCAAGATAGGAAGTGTTCGGGGTGAGTTTAAGTTCAGAGCTACAGTGTTATTGTTGCACTTGAGGAGTGGAAAAAATCAAAGAATTGGCCTTCTTAGAGTTTTAGTATTTAACTTGATCACGAGAAGAAAATACTATGGTAGATATTATTTGGTGCTTAATAGGACATTGGATGGCTCTAATGTACAGAGCCCCAATAGGTTAATTTATGACGGTTTCATATTCAGTACTACTTTAAAAATCTTGAAAGGGAGTTTCAGATTCTGAAGATTTGAGTCGGGGACAGTCTTTTGCCTGTGGAATTATATCTTTATCAGTTTGCTTTTCATTTTAGGTTGAATAATTGTTGGAAAGTATTCTCTTGTATGTGCTTTAAAATTACACTGCTATTTTTTATTTTTATAATTCATTTATGTTTTAATTTACAATCTCTCTGTAGTGGTGACATATTATAATAAAATACTACGAAAATTTGTTGCTTTATTAAGAGGTTTCTTTTTAACTTGACTGTGATGTAGCTAGCAACTAAAGCTTTCTAAATATGATCTGAGAAGGTTGAAAAAATATTAAGGGGGGAAATCCTTCTTGGACAGTTTCATGATTAAAGTGTTTTATAAACTAAAAGCTGTTCCCTTAGTATGATGTGAAGTGCTCCATGCCAGAATACAGATAAGAATGGCTAGAAATGATATGTGTTAATGAAGTTAAATGAGTTTTCTTAAAACCATTTACCTCTTTATGGACCTAATTTACAAGTAGTGAGAACAATTAGTAAATTGGCTTCTTAGGAGGTAGTAAACTTACTGCTAATTTATTGAAAATATTTTAAATATTTACTTTCAATCAATTAAAGATAGGCAAATAAAGCAGATCTAAACCTTTACATCAAATGATTTTTTAAACCCTCAAGAGTACAGTCTGCTTCTTAAAAGAACTGATAATTTGGCCGGGCGCGGTGGTGGCTCACGCCTGTAATCCCAGCACTTTGGGAGGCCGAGGCAGGTGGATCAAGAGATCGATACCATCCTGGTCAACAGGGTGAAACCCCATCTCTACTAAAAATACAAAAATTAGCTGGGCGTGTGGCTCGCACCTGCAATTTCAGCTACTCAGGAGCTGAGGCAGGAGAATCGCTTAAACCCAGGAGGCAGATGTTGCAGTGAGCTGAGATTGTGCCACTGGGCAACAGAGTGACACTGTGTCTCAAAAACAAACCAAAAAAATGATAATTTTACAACTGTAAGTAGATAGCAGATCTCTTATTGAGAACTTTTGTGGATGCACAAAATCTTTATATCACGTAATAGCTAATTTCAAATTGTGGCTGTAAAAGATTTATTTTTGTGGGGTGTGGGGAGTTGGGGAGAGATAGCATGGGGAGAAATGCCAGATATAGGTGATGGGGAGGAAGGCAGCAAATCACACTGCCACGTGTGTACCTATGCAACAATCTTGCATGTTCTTCACATGTACCCCGAAACTTAAAATGCAAGAAAAGAAATGCGCTAAAAATATATATATATATATTTAGTTTTCCTGGATAAGATAACTGAAACTTAACGATTTTTAGATAGTTGATTCATTTAAATCCTTTTATAGATATGCTTTTATATATTGTAACTGGAGGCCACACACTTTAAATCTCCCTCTCACGGTTAGAGCTATAGAAAAAAAAATGTTTAAGTTAAAACCGAAGGAGAGTACCTGTTAGCCAGATGTGTAGCATCCTTTACAATAGTCGAAGTAAATGACTACTGAATAAACAGTCTCTAAGATAATTGAGAGATGTGGAAATTCATGTTGTTCCTTGCTGTGTCACCTTGGCATTAAATGTATACATTAATAACCCTTGTAGGTTAACATAGTATGTGCTGGATTCTGTTAGTCACTTAATTAAAATTTACTATTCAGATTTTTTTTTTTTTTTTTGAGATGGAGTTTCACTCTTGTTACCCAGGCTGGAGTGCAATGGTGCGATCTCGGCTCACTGCAACCTCCGCCTCCTGGGTTCAGGCAATTCTCTTGCCCCAACCTCCTGAGTAGCTGGGATTACAGGCAAGCACCACCATGCCCAGCTAATGTTTTGTATTTTTAGTAGAGACAGTGTTTCACCATGTTGACCAGGATGATCTCGATCTCTTGACCTCGTGACCCACCCGCCTCGGCCTCCCAAAGTGCTGGGATTACAGGCTTGAGCCACTGCGCCCGGCTCAGATTTTTTATGATATTATTTATAGTGAACTTTGCAGCAAATTTTAGTAATTTTTTTTCAAATTTAATGATGGTTATTGAATATTTCTGCATCCAGACATTGAGCCAGTGTTACCTCTAGTTTTATGCTTCTGTTTTACATTTGAGGAAAGTGGAGGCCTGAGAGATTAAGTAAGGTGTTCAAATTGCACAGCTAGTAAGTGGGGGAGCCAGGATTTCCAATCTGCATTTTTCTTTTTTTTGGACTTCACTGTTATCCTGCTTTGTTTTTAGCATAACTAGCAAAAAGTCTATAAAATTTTTGGAAAAGACCTTTTCCGCAGTTCATCCGGTATATTTTATTTTTGTATTTGTTACTCCTGGGCTTAAGGTATCATCTCACTGGCCACCCAAAGTGTCGGAGTTATAGGTGTGATCACCACACCTGGCCACCTTCATTTTAAATGCTATAACTGACATTATCTTAACACTTAGTGAGATTAGTGTTTAAATATCTAGGCTAGTCCTTGAGTCCAAGCTTAGATTTATTTTAGTTAAGCCTCTCCACTTTGTCATATTCTTAGTAGGTTCAATTTGAGGATGTAGTATTGTTGGAGGAAAATTCTGTATTAATGGGTTTATTAAAAAGCCTAACATTAAAAAATAATCATAGTGGTAACATTAACTGACATTCAGATACCATTTTACAGTTTAAACAGTGTCTAGAGATAAGGACCCATAAGTTAGAAAATGATATGCTCCAATTTGGGTATTTTGGATCCATGTTCATTATTGTTTTTCATTATACCTCACTGACTTTCTGATAAATCTGTAATATTACGTGCAACCTGTAACACTAGCATGTAATATTTGTTTGCCTACTTGCTTCATTTTATCCAAAGTAATGAAAATTTGCCTGGACGTGGTGACTCACACCCATAATCCCAAAATTTTGGGAGGTTGAGGCCAGCAGATCATCTGAGGTCGCGAGTTGGACACCAGCCTGGCCAACATGGTGAAACCCCATCTCAAAATACAAAAATTAGCTGGACGTGGTGGCGTTTGCCTGTAGTTCCAGCTACTCCGGAGGCTGAGGCACAAGAATCACTTGAACCTGGGAAGCAGAGTTTGTAGTGAGCCAAGATCATTCCACTGTACTCCAGAGTGGATGACAGAGTAAGACTCTGTCACAAACAAACAAAACAAACAAAAACCAAAAATCTTAAAATGCAGCATGACCAAAAGAGCACACTACATTGTGAATGAAGAGACCTGGATATTATGTTAATCTTAATTTTTGCCAGGAACTAACTTGTAACTTTGGTCATTTCTTTTTTTGAGATGGAGTCTCACTCTGTTGCCAGGCTGGAGTGCAGTGGTGTGATCTCCACTCACTGCAACCTCCACCTCCTGGGTTCAAGCGAATTTCCTGCTTCAGCTTCCCAAGTAGCTGCGACTACAGGTGTGTGCCACCATGCCCAGCTAATTTTGTATTTTTAGTAGACATGGGGTTTCACCATGTTGGCCAAGATGGCTTCAATCTCTTGACCTCTGATCCGCTCACCTCAGTCTCCCAGAAGTGCTGGGATTATGGGTGTGAGCCACCATGCCCAGCCTTTTAAAAACATTTTTGAGACGGAGTTTCACTTTTGTTGCCCAGGTTGGAGTGCAGTGGCACAATCTTGACTCATTGCAACCTCCACCTCCCAGGTTCAAGTGATTCTACTGCTTCAGGCTCCCGAGTAGCTGGGATTACAGGTGTTCAGCCACCACGCCTGGCTAATTTTTGTATTTTTAGTAGAGACAGGGTTTTGCCGTGTTGGCCAGACTGGCCTCAAACTTCTGGCCTCAACTGATCCGTTCTCCTTGGTTTCCCAAAGTGCTGGGATTACAGGTGTGAGCCACTGTGCCTGGCCTCTTTTTTTTTTTTTTTTTTTACCTTTTAAAACATGGTACATTTTATCATGTACTTATATAGTAGCTTCCATTATTTAAAAATCAATACATGTATGAGAAACAAAGATAAACCATTACATTGCAAATTACTGTTTTCTATTGAGTCATTAAAAGTCTATCACCTGACAAAAAGTTTATGAAATGTATTATCAACATTATGTCCCACATTCTTAGGTGGAATCTACTTTTATGTTGAAGATTTTTATTCATTAAATTAGTATTTCTGTTAGAAATAGTCACACATTTATATATTTATTTTACTTATTTATGTATTTTTTGAGACCGAGTCTCCCTCTGTTGTCCAGGCTGGAGTGCAGTGGCAAATTGCAGCTCACTGCAACCTCCACCTCCCGGGTTCAAGTGATTCTGGTGCCTCAGCCTCCCAGGTAGTTGAGGCTACAGGTTCCTGCCACCACACTTGGCTAATTTTTGTATTTTTAGTAGAGATGGGGTTTTACCTTCTTGGCCAGGCTGGTCTAGAACTCCTGACCTATCCGTCCACCTTGGCCTCCCAAGTGCTGGGATTAAAGGTGTGAGCCACTGTGCCTGGCCTAGCAGGGGTCACACTTTAAAAATCTTATGTTTTAGGCCATTTGTCAGTTTTAACTGTTAGTCTTGATGGATGCTTTTTAATGCTGATTTTTAACAAACCCATCTCTTTTCCTTCCCAAAGTTGTCTGTTTTCAAATCTTGATCTTATTTTTCTTGCACATTTATAAGTGCTTTCTTATAGGCCAAGGATCTCATTCCTGGTACTTAGATTACTGTTTTCCAACTGGTAATATATTGGAAACTAAATTAAAAATTTTAGTATCTGGCCGGGCGCAATGTCTCTGGCTTGTAATCCCATCACTTTGGGAGGCCGAGATGGGCAGATCACTTGAGGTCAGGAGTTCAAGACCAGTCCTGACCAACATGGTGAAACCCCGTCTCTACTAAAAATACAAAAATTAGCTGGGCATGGTGGTGAACACCTGTAATTTCATCTACTTAGAAGGCTGAGGTGGCAGAATTTCTTTGAATCCAGGAGGTGAAGGTTGCAGTGAGCTCAGATTGTGCCACTGCACTTCAGCCTAGGCAACAGAGTAAGACTCCATTTAAAAAACAAATTTTCAGTAATCTAACTAGTACTGTGGTTTTTGGAAGGGTATTTTTAGATGTTCAAAATAAAATATTCCGTGACCCCAGGAAAATCCAAAGGAGGGAGGGAGTAGAAAGAATGCCCTTAAAGTGACCAAATTTAGCTACTTGTACATAGTTGTCTTTACACTGTTTTCCTACTTAATGTTCCAGACCTAGCGAGACGTAGTGAATTCTTAGGTCAGTCCCCTCCCACCCAAATATTGACTCAGAAAAGCCAAGGCATCCAACTGTGGTTTTATAGCTTTATGTCTTAATGTAGTTGCATCCG